CTGAACTTAGGTTCCAAACTTAGCCGATGCGTCGTTACGTCCGGTGGAATCACTGTTATATCTAAATGGGACCACGCAAAACAATCAATGTTATCGATAAGAAAATAAGTTTCTTCTTGAGTTCGAAGCTCAACCCCGTTCCCAGGTACACCTTTCGTTCGGGCCAGTGCTCGATTAGTGTGACTTGATCTATTTTCTCAATTGTTGATTTGGTGGCTTCGGAGTCATCGGGCATCACGAAGGATCGAGGGACCCTCTGATCATCATCTTCTTCTATCATCTAGTTATCTGGTTGGGTCGAAGCCGATGTCTGTGATTGCTATTTGGTGTCTCGTTCTCCTTCTGAGCCCGATCCCTTTATTAACGAAGGCGAGGATATTGGTTTTGCTTCCTCGACGGCGAACATTTCTTTTGCGGCTGGTTGTTCTCCGTACACTGTTTTGACTAATCTCGATGTTGGTACTTTGAGGACCTAGTCTAGGGTCGAAGGTACAGCTCTCATGTTGTGGATCTATGGCCTTCCGAAAAGGGCGTTGTACCTCATGTCGCCCTCGATCACGTGAAACTTCATTTCCTGAATGGTTTCGGCCATGTTTATTGGTAGAATTATCTCGCCTTTGGTGTTTTCACATGCCATATTGAATCCGTTTAGAACCAGGGTTGCGGGTACAATCTGGTCCCGCAGGCCGAGCTGCTCTACGACCTTCAATCTGATGATGTTGGCTGAGCTACCTGGATCAATCAACACACGCTTAACTTTAGTTTTATTCATGAGTACGGATATTACCAGTGCATCGTTATGAGGTTGTACAACCCCCTTTTGCATCTTCATCATTGAAGGACAAAGTCTATATGGGTGTGTAATCCTGAGTTCGAGATCGCTTTTCTCTCACAATCGATGTTTTAGTGCGTTTAAGCACTGGTCCTTGAGGGTTATCGGCACCGCCGATGATCAAGTGAATGATGTGTTGTGGCTCTTTCTGCTTGTTTTTCTTGCCGAAAACCCTGTTTTTAAAATGGTTCCTCGCCCTATCGCTCAAAAAGTCCTGATGGCGGCCTTTGTTAAATAACCAGGATATTTCCTCTCTTAGTTGCCTGCAATCTTCTATTCTGTGGCCATGGGTTCCATGATAGACGCACATTTGATTGGGATTCCTTTGGGCAGGATCGGTCAGCATGGGTCGAGGCCATTTAGTGTCTTTGATGCATCCGATAGCTGACACGATGGCGGATGCATCAACGCTGAAGTTATATTCCGATAACTGAGGTGCTTCTTTTGGATCGGCATATTTATCAAAGCCATTCTTGCTCATAAGTCCTCGAGAATTTTGCCCTCTATCAATCTTTCGATTGTTCCGAGCGGTATTGCGTGTTGAACCGTTGTTCATCCGATCTGCGACGTATGGTTGATATCGGTCTCTGTTCGACCTTTGTTCTCTGTCGATCTCCCTTTGATTTTTAGTAGATGTCCTGTTCTGATGCATGGGTCCAGACGAAGCTCCCAACTGGTCATCTTCGACCCTAATTTTCGACCGATATCGGTAGTTTATATCTACCCAAGTTATTGCTGGATACCCGATCAAATTTTGCTTCAGCCAACGCGATGCTATCGAACTTTGCTTGTTCAGCCCTTGGGTGAAAGCTTGGACGGCCCAATCGTCTGTGGCCGGTGGCAATTCCATGCGTTCCATTTGAAATCGGGATACGAATTCCCTCAGCATTTCATTACCCCTTTGCTGTACTTTGAAGAGATCTGATTTCCTTGTTGCAACTTTTATGGAACCAGCATGTGCCTTTACGAACGAATCGGCTAACATGGAAAAAGAATCGATGGAATCTGGCGGCAGATTGTGATACCAGATCATCGCTCCCTTCGAGAGGGTTTCCCCAAACCTTTTCAACAACACGGATTCGATCTCATCGTCTCCAAATTGTTACCCTTGATGGCACATATGTAAGAGGTGACATAAGCGTTAGGATCAGTCGTACCGTTATATTTGGGAATTTCGGGCATACGAAATTTTTTGGGGATTGGTTTTAGGACCGCACTCGAGGGAAAAGGCTTTTGTATGAATTTTTTCGAATCCAGCCCTTTTATCATTGGTGGAGCTCCGGGGATTTGATCGACCCTGGCATTGTATGTTTCCACTCTCTTGTCATTGGCTTCGACTCGTTTTGTGAGTTCCTCGAGCAATTTAGTAATTTCGGGAGTGGTCCCCGATTCTTGCTCGTTTGATTTCACTATGGCGGCTCCGTTATGGGGTGATTTCTCGAAGCGGATTGGGATCTGGCCTGCTTTGTATATGAGTTTGGCTCTGCAACTGAGCTATCACTACTTGTTGGGCTTGTAACATCTCGAAGATCATACGTAAGATGGCTCCGATTTCCCCCACGTTATGGGTGTCTCTAGCTATGGATCGAGTACCGCCCTAAATGATTTTTTCCGATTCGGAATGCTGGTTCGCCTCAAGAGCCACTTGCGAATTGACATCTAACGGTACTTCGGCTCGAATTTCGGATACTTCGATTCGAGCCTCAGTGCCATCGTCAAGTGGCCTTCTGGCCCCGGGTACCAAGTTGTTGATTTCATCTTGAAGGCCGGCTTCGTGGTCGATAGGTAAAGCCATTGCTGATTGAAAGTTGTAAACTGGTGTGTACTGCAGATTTATATCAAACAATCACTGTTATCCTTAGCCCCACGGTGGGCGCTAAACTGTTTACCCGAGAAATCAGATAACGTTAAATTTATATATGGTTCTAAGGATATGATACCCTTTGATACAAATCATATAGAGAGATAGAAATATGTGTATTCTTGACTATGAGAATGGGAATAGTGAGCAAAAAGACTGAATAAGATAAAGTAAAATAAGCACGAGGAGATATCTTTCAATATGAGAAGTGATCTTTTGTTACAGTGTATTCGGTATCTCCTTCTGCTTACAAGGATTTTCCCCCTTTTATAATAGAGGGGTCCTACTTTATTTATAATAAAATAGATCATATAGTGGAGGACCCATGATGAATTGTCTCTTCCTCGATTTCCTCCAAGATTTTCTCCCTTAATGCAGTTGTAACAATTTTTGTCTGCGAGCTCGATACTGGCTCGAACTCGTTATTGGGTCGAGCCCTCGGTTTTGGCTTGAGTTCGACCTTTGGGGTGGGCGTAGCGCATTTCCGACCTCGAAGCAATGCCTTGCGGATCGATTTGGTCACGGGCTCGATAAAAGTATTGAGCCGAGTCCTCGATCAGCCTTTGGACTCGAGGCTCGTTTGTACTATTTTCGAAACTCATCCCAAATCCCACTCCGGTTGCTTACCATTCGAACTCGATCGAACGTAGGAAGGCCGAAATCTATTTTGATCGTATACATCCTTTTATAATAACAATTTATATAATTAAACGAAATGTCTCATAATAAAACTAGTAGCAATGGAGGATATAGTATAGAGTCAATTAATGGGTTCAACTAACAAATTTGCGACATGGAGTACAAATATATTTTGAAAAAATCACAAAAATGTTTTAAGAAAAATTTAAACCTATAATTTCAATAATATAATTATTTCAATATGCTAAAGTTTGAAAATCAAATTTAAATCCTAGATCCGTCTATTTATAATAATGCATTTATGCTCTCAAAATCCTGGATCCGTCTTTGCTTTTAGACATACAGGTCCGAAGTTGAAAACTTTACCAAACCCTAACTTCTGAAGTTTGAATGTTCAGATATGATGCCCGAAGTTAGGCTTTGGCAGAGCCCAACTTTAGACCTGCATGGCTAAAGTTTAATTTTGGCTGTTGAAATTTTAGATTGTCGAGTTAATACTAAATACACTGATCGTTGGTCGTATTGGATCAGACGGTTTGAAATTTGTATATTACTACATATCAGAATTATTGTCGAAGGAACCTTATTAAAATCATATAAGATTTAATTATAAACTCTGATATTGATATCGATATGAACAAACTCTAAAAGGTTAATTTTTTATATCCAATCTGGCAATTTTCATTCTATCTTCAACTATGTATAACAAAAATGAATGACAAGTCAGCTTGCAAATTTTTATTAAGAAGATATGAAGAAGAAAAAATAGTTATCCTTTTGATCAGGTGATATGTGACATAGAACGAAGATGTCTTAACTATTTTTTTCATCGATTAATTTTATAACTCTGAAGTTTCTTTGTGTTAATTCAGAATGAAATATTCTTATTGTTTTAGAATAGTCCTTTATTTACTCTTATAAAAAAATATTCTGTTATATTAAAGAAGCTATTTTAATTTAGACATATTAATAACTTGTGTTTGTGATAATTTATAAAATACTAATGTTAGTAATATTTTTTCTCCATGATGGTTAATGTATGATCAGATCTTGTACTAAATATAGAACTACTATGCTCAGCTTTTTTGTGACTATTCTTACTCTTAGTCTCTTTCATGAAAGAAATTAAAATAAATTAGTTGAGATCTGTGAAAATTGTAGAGAGAGAAATATTGTAAATGAGGAAATTGTATTATTTTCAAAACTGAGATTGTATCTGTACAAGTTCCTACTTATACACACGTGAATCACTCCACTAATTAATAGCTGGCATAACTAAACTCCAGCTAAGCTAACCGACTCTAGTGTGTGAAGGAAAAAAATGACATAAATATTCCTAGCTAATCTACGACTAAGATATAACACACTTGTGTGTTTAGACACCTGTTGATCATTACACGTGGCATAGAAGAACAGTCATCTCCTAAGCTTATCAAAACCAAATATCAACCCAAATCTCTGATATTATCAGCCTCACCACAGTGCTCATCTCTAACTTCAACACCCCCTTCCCCCCCTCCCCCCTCCCAAGTTGGAGGGTGGAGATTGAACCCCCAACTTGCCCAAAATGTCACGATTCAAGGGACCCGGCAAGGATTTGGTAAAGATATCGGCTAATTGCAGACGATTAAGAATAAAGAAAAGAGAGATGAACCCAGATTGGAACTGCTACCAGAAAAAATGGCAGTCAAGCTCCATATGTTTAGTACATTCGTAAAAGACAGGATTTTTAGCGATGTAAATGGCCGCCTGACTGTCAGAGTGAAGCGGAACAGGTAAGGAAGGCGGAAGAGACAAATCGGAAAGAAGGCGAACGAGCCAGGTTAACTCAGCCACAACACGACGCATAGATCTGTACTCTGCCTTGGCGGAGGACAAAGAAATAGAGGGTTGTTTCTTAGATTTTCAAGAAATATGGCAAGACCCCAAACTAATAAAAAAACCACTGATGGAGCGGCGAGTATCAGTACAGGAACCCAGTCAGAGTCGCAGAAGGCAAGAAGGTCAAAAGAAGGAGAGGAAGTCATAAAAAGTCCCAAGCCAGGATCTTTGAGAAGATAACGGAGACAGTGTTTGGCAGCATCCAAATGAGGGAATCTAGGGTCTTGCATGAATTGAGAGAGATGTTGCACAACGAAAGAAAGGTCCGGACGAGTATGGGTCAGAAAATTGAGTTTGCCAAGGAGACAATGGTAAAAGGAAGGATCAGGGATAGGGTCCCCCACACCAGCAAACAGCTTGCAAGTTGGATCCAAAGGAGAAGAAGCAGGTCGCTCAGCAAGACAGTCAAATTCAGAGAGCAACTCAAGGGTGAAGTTGAGCTGACTAAGAATTAGACTTTGAGGCTCCCTAAGGACTTCCATGCCAAGAAAAAAGGATAAGTCACCCAGATCCTTGATTTGAAACTCAGCATGTAAGAACATTTTCAAATCAGTTAATTATTGCACATTATTATCAATCAATAGAATGTTATCGACATAAAATGCCACAATAGACACAGAATTACCACTTCACTTATAGAACAGAGAGTATTCATTGAGAGAGTGAGTGAAGCCCTTAAAATTCAAAGCAACTGTCAGTTTAGCATACCACTGACGAGAGGCCTGTCGCAAATCATATAGGGACTTCTTTAGACGACAAACTAGGTGAGGAGAGGGAGGAGAGAAACCTGTAGGAAATTTCATATAAACCTCCCCATGGAGGTCACCATGTAAAAATGCATTATTGACATCCAACTGGTAGAGGCCCCAACCCTTCTTCACAGCAATAGCCAAAATACATCGAATAGTGATCATTTTAACAACAGGGGAAAATATCTCAGTGAAGTCAATGCCTTCCCTTTGAGTATCCCCTCTAATCACCAGTCGAGCCTTAAGCCTTTCAACAGAACCATCAGATTTAAGTTTAACCTTATACACCCACTTACAAGGAAGGGCTTTCTTGCCTATAGGGAGAGGTACCACTTCCCAGGTATCATTAGCAAGCAAGGCATCCAGTTCCTTGGTCATGGCATCCTGCCAGCCAGGATGCTGAGTAGCCTGTGAGTAGGAGAGACAGGCTCTTGGATATGAGAGATAGAATGAAAAACATGTTGATTAGAGGCAGACAAAGCACAAAAAGGAAAGGGAGCAGGGGTGACTGGGGAAAGGAAACAGAGAGAAGATACATCAGTGAGGTGAAGAGCATTGCAGATAAAATCTGAGAGATAAGCAGGGGTTTTGTGGTGTCTTAGGGATCTACGCAGTGCAATAGGAGGTGGGTGATTAGAGAATAAGGGAGAAGAGGAGAAAATGGAAGGGGGAGAAGAGGAAGAAGGAGAGAGGGGAGAATGAGAAAAAGGAACAGGACTGGGAGTAGAAAGTAAAGAAGAAGGAGAAGTAACACTAAGAGAATGAGAGGAAGAGGAAAGTGGAGACGCATGAGGAGAATCTAAGAAAGAAGGAACATGAATAAGATTAGAAGAGAAATCCAAAGGAGGAATAATAGAAGAAAGATGAGAGGAGGAAGAAGAAGGGGAAGTCATTAGAGAAAAGGGAAAATGGATTCATGGAATATAATATTTCTGGAAACAAACAAATTTCGAGTAGTGAGGTTAAGTAGTTTGTAACCTTTTTTGCCAAAGGGGTAACTAAGAAAAACACATGGAGTGGCCTTGGGATCAAGTTTACTTCTGTGTTGAGATAAAGTGGAGGCAAAACATAGGCAGCCAAAACATTTAAGGAAGGTATAGTCAGGTGGTTTGCCAAATAATACTTCATAAGGTGACTTATAGTGGAGTAATTTAGTAGGGTATCTGTTTATCAAATAGGTGGCAGTGAGTAAACAATCTCCCTAGTAGACTAGAGGTACTTTGGACTGAAACAATAGTGCTCTACAAGTCTCAAGAAGATATTTATGTTTCCGTTCAACAATCCCATTTTGTTAGGGTGTGGCTAACCAAGAGGTCTGATGAATTATCCCTTTATCATTAAAGTGGGTTTTGGCTGTAGAACTGCCCCCTATCTCAAGGGCATTATCAAATCTAATAATTTTTACTTGAGCAGAAAATTATCTTTCCACCATAGAAACAAAAAAGGTTAAAACAGTAAAGGCACCACCCTTAGTGCTCAGTAAATAGGTCCAGGTACCCCGACTAAAATCATCATCTATAGTGAGGAAGTACCCGAAAATATCATGAGTTGTTGTGTTATAAGGTCCCCAGGTATCAATATGTATAAGCTCAAAAATGTGAGAAGTAGAGGTAGTACTAACAGGAAAGGGCAATTTGTGTTGTCTTGCCATAGGACAGATAGTACAAGGGAATGTATCAGGAATAAGAGCTGCTTTAGGTAAAAATGAAATATTTTTCATACTAGAAATAGGCATATGCCCAAGTCTTACATGCCATAATTTGTGACAAGACTCAGCAGAATTAGAAACATTAGTAGAACAACTAGACAAAGAATTAGCAATAAGCTGAGTATAATTATTTGGAATAGTTGACACTGGTTTGCTTTGGTGCAGAGAATTAGCAAGAGTATGGAAGGATTGAAGAAGGTAGAGTCCATTCTTCACCCTACCAGGAGCCAGAGGCCTCTTCAAGGAAAGGCCATGCAACACACAGGAAGTAACACCAAACATGAGAAGGCTATTGAACTGTAAGCAAAATTTCTACACTGAGATCAGATTGAATTTGAAACTTGGCACTAGTAAAACTTCATTTAGAGTTAATTCTGGGTGAATAGGAACTTTCCATGCATGTGTAACTTTGATCATATAGGAGTTAGGTAGATTAACATAGACAAGTTGTGGTAGAGGTTCAACATTAAGTAGAATAGATGCATCAAAAGTCATGTGTTCTGAAGTTCCAGAATCTAGGATCCAAAAATATGTTTTAGAGGTGATGAGTGGAAGAGAAGATGGGTGTATACCAGTACAATTAGCTGTTGCATTGGTCTCAGAACTGGAAGGTCCCTGCTGTCCAAATTTAACCTGTTGTAGTAACTCCATTAGCTGAGTGAGTTGTTCTTGCTTAATACCTATACTGACATCAGTAACCTATGATTAAGTATCTTTCTGAATACTAGTTGCATTGCTGTGTGCATGATTATTGAAAGGTCTAGGTCTATTATTTTTAAAGTTGAGGGGATAGCCATGAATCTTATAACATTTCTCAATGGTATGTCCTGGTTTCTTACAATATCTGCAAATGAGATTGGTAGAATTATTCCTCTTGTAATCGTGATGTTGAGTCTGATTGTTTTGGAGTCCATTGGTTGGGTTTCCTTGGTTATTGTTAAACCTGTATTGTCCTTGATTAGCATTCTGCCCAGTAACAGTAAATGAACTTGAATCACTAGGATAATTCCCCAAAGGTTGTATACTCCTCTGCCTTTCCTCTTGCAATAGAAGAAAGTAAGCTCGATCAATATCTGGTGAAGGATTCATCATCATTATGTTTCCTCTACAAGTAGTATATGACTCATTCAGTCCCATTAGGAATTGAACTAACTTTTGTCTCTCTTCAAGTGCATTATTTTTCTCCAGTGCTCCACATGTACATTCTGCACAACTGCACACAACCCTAGCATCAAGTAGCTCAATTTCATCCCAAATTGCTTTCATGTTATTGAAATAGGTTGCAATGTTATTTGATCCTTGCACAGTTTCTACTAGTTGTTTTTGCAATTCAAATAGTTGTGCCAGATTCGATTGCCTATATCTCTTCTCAAGTTGTTTCCATAAATCGTGTGCAGATCTAGAGTGGATGACACTGGATCTGATTTCTCTTATAAGAGAATTCAACAACCAAGCAAAAACCATGTCGTTACAACGAGTCCAAAGGCTAAAAAAGCAGAATCTCCTTTGGTTTTGGCAAAGTTCCATCAATGAAGCCAAGCTTATTCTTAGCAGATAGTGATACTAATACAGATTTTCTCCATGAGCCATATCCAGTTCCATCAAATGCACTGAAAACCAATGCCATACCTAGTGAATCTGAAGTAAGATGATAATACGGGTGAAGATGATCGATCTTCTCCATTGTAGCAAAAGTAGAAACTCTAGAAGTTGGAGTATCTTCCTCCAGAACCATGATCGAAGTGATGAGTTTTGGAAACCTGACGAAGAACCTAAGTTTTTCTGGAAAATTCTAGAAGAATCTAGACAAAAAGAGCATATGCTCTGATACCATGTGAAAATTGTAGAGAGAGAAATATTGTAAATGAGGAAAATGTATTATTTCCAAATCTGAGTTTGTATCTATACAAGTTCCTACTTATACACACGTGAATCACTCCACTAATTAACAACTGGCATAACTAAACTTCAGCTAAGCTAACCGACTCTAGTGTGTGAAGGAAAAAAAATGACATAAATATCCCTAGCTAATCTACGACTAAGATATAACACACTTGTGTATTTAGACACCTGCTGATCATGACACGTGGCATAGAAGAACAGTCATCTCCTAAGTTTATCAAGACCAAACATCAACCCAAATCTCTGATATTATCAGCCTCACCACAGTGCGCATCTCTAACTTCAACAAGATCCTTTAATTCTGTTTGGAAAGAAGATTATACTTCTTTTTAAAATAAAAATAAAAAGTTTAACATCTAGTTATTACGAAATGAAGATAAAATATCAAGTAATATCTGGTTACCTAACAAATTAAACACCACATCCGATTCAATCTACAGTAGCCTATGTTATTAAATTCGTGGCTATAACACTTTTCAAACTTACGATATTATAAAATTTTGTAGCATTTTTATGGCTACAAAAACTTATTATTAAAGCTAGAATAGAAAATTTAAGTTAAATTAAATTTAGAAATATATCGTTTTATTTTTAACAAATTAAAAAAGAAATAAAGTCGCATAAGCCAAAACAGAGGAAGAAGATGTATGTTTTGAAGTGAAGGCGGAGCAAAAAATTTCCCTAAGCGGATTCAAAATAAAGAAGTAAATACGCGAAAAAGCCAAGATGATTCAACGTAATGTATATATATATAAAAAAAAAATTACCCATCTATACACTTCACCGAAATTTTACTTATAACGAAAGAAATTATAATCAATTAGTTTCCATTTATAAACTACCAATAGATATGCATTAGGAAATACATTTGACAGCTTCTAAATATTCGTAGAAATGATACCGGGTAGCCATTTTAAAAGGTTAGTACTTAGGAATTAGTCAGTGCGTCCTGCATTTTAGTTTTTTATTTCAATTTTTCAGGACAAAAAATCCTGAATTGTCCTGAAGTTAAGATTTTTAGTTTAAAATTTCAGGAAAAAAAAATAAGCACTGGCTAATCTTTAAATAGCATCCCTGAGAATGGTTATTTGTGCACTTGCCCCTCCTAATTCCTACCGCATATATCATTCTCCTTTCTCGCAATTAACGCAAAAACTCTGGAAAAACTGATAAATTAAAAATC